CAGCCATTTGACTCACTGGCGTATAAATCTAAATCTAATGTCTTGCATTCGTAAGTGGAGAATCCTAGGCCCAATTAACAAATTAGTTAACAGCTTACCTGTGTAAAGTCTTCCTTCGGAACGAGAAGGTGGAGCAGAAACAAGATCTGCCACAGTGAATGGCAATTTCTAACAAAGAAATATAGATAACTGAACATTAACCACAGAATGTATAATGTATTTGAATCTCTTTATTTCATTTGCATCCAACAGCGAGTAAATCACCAAATATAGGATGGACGATGGGAGTGGAGTTGTTTTTAGTCATGAAAAGAAATCCTACTGTCTCTGGAACAGAACCCAGAGATTAGAAGACAAACACCTTAACCACCAAGCTATTCAACTCAACTCCAATCTTTATTAGATCAATAAGTACCACTCCATTCATATCTTTTTGCATTTTTTTCCCCCCGAAAACACAGACATACCTCCTCAGCAAAGGAAACTAAACATTAGAAGTGTACATACCTGAAGGCCTTGATCTACTCCAGTGGCTAGGGCATACAGACTACCATCAGTAGGGTCTGGTAGGAAGGTGGGCGACTCTTTGCTAGTGGTCACTGGCATCTTCACAATCGGTTCTTAAAAATTAATTTAATTACAATTTACTTCAAATACAAAAATATACTCACTATAATCTTGGACTAACATTCAACTATGTGTGCTCTCTCAGTAAAATATATATGTGGATTGCCTTACTAAAACCAGTATCAATGACCAAAAATCAAAACTGACTTATATTTATATAATTGTTTTAGCTCTATTTGTAAGTAATTTAAATGTAAAAGTCAGTTAATTTGTTAATTATTACTACTATCATTTATTTCTTTTAAATTATCATGATTCTTGATTCCTTCGTATGTGATATTTTATTCAAATTCTTTGTACAAATTTCATGACCTTGCAGCAAAGAATCATTGAGCTGATTAAGTGTTTCCATGGCAATTATTTTTTTTAAGTGTTAAATATTGTTATTGTGGTGATTGAGCATGTTGCTTTGTTTGAGTCAGGATTATGTGGAAGTGGGCGAAGCTCACAGAAAGGAGTGTATAGTTAAGCACAAGGGTACGCAATACTAGTGTGCTTAATTTATTAGCACAGTATAAGCTTTATAACAATAAAACACTACATATTTGTATATAAAAATATATCACTCACTTCTTCTATTTCAAAAAAGATAAATTTTAAAGAATAATTACAAACAATATAACAAACCAGAATCATCATCGGTGGTAATCAAATTACCAAGAAAAAAGAATAAAAACTTGTGACGCTGGTTAAAAACCACTGGGAGTACTAAAGACCAGTAGAAGAACCAGAAATAACTGGATGAGACAAATTAAAGAAGATTTAGAAGGACGCTATAACAAATCATCTTGCCTTTAACAGAAACAAACTGTGGAAAGCGTAATGTCACATGTTAAGAAGAAGATGATCTATAAATTGTTCTTGGCCTGCTGAAAAAAAAAAATTCCTTTGGCAGTGAATCCATTTATTATGGGGCTTGTTTCTGCACAGGAAACTGCTCCTTGAAACCGGTTATTTTATCCTGGAAACACGCCCCAAA